CTGGGCTCCGGCGATCCTTCCGCCTCAGCCTTCCAAGGAGCTGGAACTACAGATGCACGCCACCATGCCCAGCGAGTTTTTGTGATTTTCTGTAGAGATGAGGTCTCACCAAGTTGCCCAGGCTAGTCTTTAACCCCTGGGCTCAGGCAATCCTCCTGTTTCGGCCTCCCATGGTGCCCGGCTGCTCCAAAGTTTTTAAATGGCACCTGCATACCCAACAACCCCATCTGTCCTCACAGCCCAGAATGTCTCCACCTGACGCCTTACCAGTCCTCCCACGCAGAACAGGCTCCATGCTCCCCTCAACCTTGAACCTCCACGCATCGACTCAGAACTCAAGTCTTAAGCTGGGAGGTGCCCCGGAGAGCCAGCCCACACCCATGTGCTTTTGCAGCCTCATCTCAAACATAACTCTGATCTGCTTCCTTGCTCCATCTTCTCTTATCTCTACCCTGGTCCAAAGCCTCCAGCAAATCTCCCTTGGCTTGGGGAAGTGGCCTCATTCTGCTCCCACCCATCTATCCTCCCCTCCCTGTATCCTTCTCCAGCTTGTCTTTCCAATTTGGTTTTTTTTTTTTTTTGAGTTGGAGTCTCACTCCGTCGCCCAGACTGGAGTGCAGTGGTATGCTCCTGGCCACCGCAGCCTCAACCTGCTGGGCTCTGGCAATCTTTCTGCCTCAGCCTTCCAAGTAGCTGGAACTACAGGCGCGTGCTACCACGCTTGGCTAATTTTTGATTTATTGTAGAGATGAGGTCTCGCCAAGTTGCCCAGGCGGGTCTCGAACCCGTGGAATCAGGCAATTCACTCACCTCGGGCTCCAAAAGCGCCGGGATTACAGGGTGAGCCACCGAGCCCGGCGTCTTTCTAATTTGTAAATCTGATTGTCTTTTCCCTGCATACAACCCTTCCACCGCATTCCGAGTACAATGCCCAATGCTAAGACACCCACCAAGGCCCTAACATCAAAGAGTAGCTTCCCTAAACCGGGGTCGGTGGCTCAGCCTGTAATCCCGCGCCTTGGGAGGCTGAGGTGAGTGGACTGCCTGAGCCCGCGGGTTCGAGACCCACCGAGGCAACTTGGCGAGACCTCATCTCCACAATAAATCAAAAATCAGCCGGGCGTGGTAGTGCGTGCCTGTAGTTCCAGCTACTTGGAAGGCTGAGGCGGAAGGATCGCCGGAGCCCAGCAGGTCGAGGCTGCGGTGGCCGGGAGCGGCCACTGCACTCCAGTCTGGGCGACTGAGTGAGACTCCGACTCAAAAAAACAAAACAAACCAAAAAACAAAACAAAGAGTAGCTTCCCTTCCTGCCCTTCCCCTCTTATGAACTCTTTCCCACCCCCTCACCAAGGCCCTCACACCTGTCTGTCCCCGTCTCGTCTTCATCTCCCAGATAAACATTGTGTCTTTCAACCCCACCTGGGCCAGGTTCCCCACTGCTCACGCTCACAATGTTCTCCACGTCTCTGAAGCATTTGGCACACGGAATTCAAGTTCAACCTGCCTTGCCACTAGACTGTAAGCGTCACCAGGCAGGCCCTACATCTGCCTTATGTTTCACTGCATTTTCTGTCTGAGTTAAGTTGCTGGCACTCAATAATTGAGTTGGATGGAGGACAAAGAGCCCCAGGGTTACCAGTCCTCTGAGGAGCTGAAGGAAGAGGGAAGGAAGGAAGAATGGACATTTGCTGGTACAAGCCAGGGTAACCCAGGCCTGAACTTCTCTCCTCCCAGGATCCCCAGTGCCTTAGAGGGGCTCACCAATAAGGCAGGACCCAAGGAACCGGGCCACCTGCCCTGAAGGGGTCACCCTGAGACCTAGAAATGATCTGCTGCTTAAAGGGTGTCTGAGGACACGGGTGGCTCACGCCTGCCATCCCAACACTTTGGGAGGCCGAGGTGGGAGGACCACTTGAGCACAGAAGTTTGAGACCAGCTTAGACAACATAGAGAGGCCTCATCTCTACAAAAATAAAAAAAATTAGCCAGGGGTGGTGGGGCATACCTATAGTCCCAGCTACTCAGGAGGCTGAGGTGGAAGGATAGTGTGAACCCAGGAAACTGAGGCAGCAGTGAGCTGTGATGGTACCACTGCATTCCAGCCTTAGTGGAGACCCCCGACTCCAAAAAAAAAAAAAAAGTTATCTGTTTGGATCATCAGGGTTTTTCCCCTCTGTGAACTGCCAACAAGAAACAGATTTATGAACCTCTAACTCTTATAACTCCAGCAGACAACAGGGCTTAAACACAACAAACATTAAATTGGGGTAAGTGCTACAGCTTAATTGTTGTTACACCCTGATAAATAAGCTAAAAACGTGAGAAAAAAAATTAGTTTAGAAAAACTGATTTAGCCCTCGGCTTCATCGTTTAACTTTTTATGGTCGTCATGACAACCATGGGTCCATTTATTAAGTCACAGCGTCCCCTGTGTAATGCCGTCGCACAGGCAGCGCAGGGGAGCTGCCAGCTGCACACTTACCTTGAAGTCATCCGGGAGCAGCAGTTTGGACGTCCGCAGGAAGCTCAGGACGTACCGGAAAATCTCCCCATCCCGGTCGATGAAATAATGTTGCTTCAAACTGTCCAGGACAATGGGCTCGGTGCCATTGAAGAGGCGGCTTATTCTGGGGAGACAGGCAACGTGGGATGACAGAAAGAAGGAACCAAGTCTCCCTTGTCCAGCCCCGTTCCTGAGAGCCTGCCCTGCTGGAGAAGGGACTTGGGTGACTCTAGGGCAGTGTCAGGACTGACAGTATGTGCACACACCTGGGGCAGCCAGGCCACAGTCACATAAGACATACCACATATCCCACCTTCACTTGTGAGCCACGGCCAAACAGGGTCACACCCAGCTGTGCGCACCAGCCTGCTGACACGTTGCAGGTCTGGAAAGCTACAGCAAGACAGACACTGCCACCTCGCCCCATGCACACAAACCAGCTGGTTCCATCTCTGGTACACACACCCTTCCCTGACTGGGAAAATGCACATGGACCATCCATTGCCCCAGTCAACAGCCACACACCCAGTGATCATGTGTAAACCAGCCAAGACTTAGTCCTTGGTGGCACCCATCCTGCTCACCCAGCCCATGTGAACGACAACACACCTGGGCAACCGGCACAGGGTCACATGGTCCCCTCCCTCCCAACACACAAATCTTAGGCAGACTTGGGCACATCCAGGCAGAGGACACACATCTGCCAAACAAGACATGCAAAAGCACAAACATCCTACAGCCACTGACTCAGGGAGCCATAAGGGAGAAACAGAGGCAGGCAAAAGGGACAGCACGTGTGCCCTAGTACACACATGCAACAACGTAACACACAGAAACCATGCACACACGCCATGACATGGGCCCAACTGGCTGCGGGCAGGGGGAATAAGGAGAGAAGTCAGGCGCCAGCACCCTCTCCTCAGAAGGGCAGTGATTCTAACAATGTGGGCCCTGCAAGAGGCTACTGGAGAGCCTGATGCCTGTCCCTATCCACTAAAGGAGAAGAACCCAGGCCTCAGAGCCAGGGCCGATGCCTCTCCCATTGCCAGGGTGGCAGCCTCTGGTGTGGCTAACTGCGCTGGCAGACCCCAGACTGATTAAGGAGCTCTAAAGAAGGGTAGGGGCAGCCAAGAGCTTGGCTTGGGAATAGGAGGAAGGCTGGCAGCATCTTCCCAATGACAGCACCACCAGACATACTTTGGCAGGCAGGGCCACACACTTCTGCCCAGCTAGACCCTGCCAAGATGGCAGCTTGCCTGCACAGCTGGGAGTAGGGTAGCTCCGGCCTTCCAGTCTAGCCTGTATAATAGCTGATGCCTAAGCAACTGACACTGTGGGAACATGGGAACAGGTGAGCACATGGCTACTCCATACCAGAGCCTGCTGTGAGGTGGGTGGTGAGGCCTGGGCCTGTGGAACCAGAGCTACAGCCAACTAGGTACAACTCATCTTAGGGTTCCAACAGTCAATCAGTCCTGTAAATCCCCCACCCTGGTGTCAGTGGTACTGGGGGACACAGCTCCTGCTGTGAAGCCTGAGAATTCCATGACTCATTCTAGCCCTCAAAGTCACCCGGACCTGGCCTGACAGAGCTTAGGCATTCAGATGTCAGAGTGAGGGTCACCCAGCATCCCTGGAGAGAGAGGGGACTGGCCAAGGCTGCCAGGTGCCATGGACAGTGGTTGGCAGACAGCTAAGGGTCCACACATGGTACCGAAGGGAAGAAATAAGGGTCACAGCCACAGATGAGTCAGCAAATCCAAAGCCTTGGCCTCCCTGGAAACTCTCCTTACCCTTCCTGGTTGAGCTCAAACACTCTGTACAGCAAGCAACGTTCTGGGCCTGGCTGAATTCCAAATCCCTCTGATGTCAGGCCTGACTGAGTTCTAGCCCGTCCTGTTGGTCTAGAGAATTTCCAATCCACCCACATTCCAGGGCTGGCTGGGTTCTAGGCTGTCTTATTGGTCTCAGGCTAGAAGCTTCTCCATCTGCCTTATTTCAGGGTTGGCTGGTTCTAGGTCTTCCCATGGCTCAGTGTCCGTTCCAGGATCAACCGGCAGCTATGCAGCTTCTCCCGGGACAAAGGCCTTGTGCGCCCTCAGCATCCGAGATGGCCAAGGGTGTGAGTGGGTTGAGGGAAGGTTAGGACAGTCACCATGAGGGTCACTTTCAGGGTCATGAGAGGAGTGACCTCCTGGGTTCCACATATCCCCGTGGAAACCAGCCCAGGCTACCCTCTGAGAGAGGCTGCAGGGCTCGGGACGCCAGCTTCATTAGTCTTCCGTGAAATACACTTGCCAGTTCTTGCTACAGCATCTGGGACCCGCAGGGGCAGAAAAGGTGCTGTCCAACCACCCACCTTGAGTATACAAGGGGAGGCATCTTTTCTCCCCACCCCCCACCTTTTTAAGCTCTGGGTCCAATTTCCTGGATATTTCAGCGCAAGGTTTCATTAGTTCTGAAGCTCCTGGCCATCTTCATTTATTGCTTCCCACAGCCAGGATGGACCGCAGAATGGGGCTGTGAGGGCGGTAGCTAAGTGACATCCAGGAGGCAGGACACGAGCACGGGGGCTGACCAGGTAGTCCACCACCAGCCCCAGGAAGCTGTGCTCAGCTGTCTTAGGTGAGGACCACAGATGCCCTGGGCAGACCAGCAGAGGCACCTGGCACCAGCCTCTCCAGCACCCATGCCACCCTGGCCACCGAAAACCAGAAGTCTAGGTGTAGTTCTGTGGGCACAGGGAGGCATGGGTGTGGGTCCCTGCCTCTTGCAGCACTGCCCAGGCCAGGACATCACCGATATCCAGAAACCCCTGGGGACCTCAGCACTCTAAATTTTCCATCTCCAGGTGATCCATTCATCAGTGACACTGGGCGAGGGATTGATCTTCTTTTCCAGAATTGGTGAAAACAGTCTTTAAATTGCAATCACTTAGGCTGGGCGTGGTGCTCAAGCCCATAATCTGAGCACTTTGGGAGGTTGAGGCGAGAGGATTACCTGAGCCTGGGCAGCCTGGTGAGACCTCGTCGCTACAATAAATCATAGAATTAGCCAGGTGTGGTGGCACACCTGTAGCTCCAGCTACTTGGAAGGCTGAGGCAGAAGGATTGTCTGAGCCTAGCAATCTGAGGCTGCAGTGGCACGCTCATGGCCTGGGCGACAGAGCGAGACTTCGACTCAGAAAAAAAGGGAAAAAAATGGCAATAATCCACTAGAAGAAGGACAAGAGAGATCCGAGGGTGGCTTGCCAGCAGAGCTCCTCAACCCGTTCCTCAGGCCCTGCCTGGCCCCTGGCTCCTGACTGTCCCATAGGTCATGCCACCCCTGGCCTCCAGGCCAAAGCTTCAGGCCTGCAGGGCAGCTGCTCCACAGCCAGAAGCCATCCAGGCAGGAAGGCAGACTCATCTTGAGCCCCGGCCCCAGGGAAGAATGCGGACTGCCACCCCTCTGGGCACATCCTGCCGGCGGCAGAAGGTCCCACGTGCCAGATCATGGGGTCACAGGGGCCTCAGCTCCCTAGGGGTAGAGCACACCCCCTGGGCCAGCCATGGGCCAGGAAAAGCCACACTGTGGGCCTGGGAGGCGGGGAAGAGGTCCCCGCCCCCCTGCTCCCAGGCAGCAGTCCTGAGCTCCCCCTCCCAGAGCCTAGGCTGTGTTTACTCTAGAAAGGTAAGTGTCTGATTTCAGGAAACACTCTTCAGAGAGGATTGTGGGCCAAGGTTTTATGAATTTCACTCACAAACATCGTCAACCGATTAAGGAATGATCTATCTCAAACAACTCGGGAATGCCGCAGAAGGCAAAACTGAAATTAAATAAGCAGAATCCATCTCCCATCCTAGACAGGGCTCTGCAAGCAGGCGCACAAGCCGACGCCACTGTCGCCCCCCCCCCAAAAAAAAAGCCCCAAGTTCATAGGGCCTCAGGCCCAGCCTCTGTCAGGTCAAGAAAACAAAGTCCAAAGTCCCAACTACCATCCGTACCCCACACTCCTCAAATTTAGAACCAGACGCTGCATCCACCTCCAGCATTATCTACTTGAGGGGGCATGCCTGCCCCTGGGGAGGGCTCTATCCTGGGCACAACAAGCTTGGAAGGCAGTCACCCCCACGCACTAAAGCCCGCCCCGCTCGTAGCAACCACACCGGCGACGAGGCAGCCTGACACGCAAGCGCCCCAGAGACGATCCCTCAATATCTGGAGGATTAATGAACTCCTCTGGCCACTTTAAGTGTATAAAATAGGGGTGATGCCCACAGCCTTGGCCCTCCCATGCTCTGCCCCCTGTGGCCCCGGAGAGAGCGGTGGTCACCTTGCTGTGGCAGGGACAGACAGTCGCAGCTCAGTCGGCAGCATGCCATGTCATCTCCAGGAGAGGCTCAGAGACCCAGCCCACCTCAGGTCAGCCCTACTGCTGTGCCAACAGGGAAACCAGGTCTCCTGCCCAGAAGGGAAATGCCAGGGAGAAAAGGGCAGCAGGGTCGGCAGCAGCCAGTGCCTTGCCTGGGTTCCAGGGGAGCTTGTGGGTTCAGCAGCTTGTGGGGGTTGAGGGGAGTGCACAAGGCTCAGCCAGGGCCCTGAGCAGAGATACATGATCTGCTGAGGGGAGCAGGAGCCTCGTGCTCACCACAGCCTTGGATATCCCAAATGTCCTGGCACTCGTAGCCAGTCAAGTCACCCAAGGGGAACCTGCGGCTGGCTCTTAGGGCCCAGCAGAGGCCACCCAAACAGATGGAAGATGGCAAACCGCAACTCCTCCCTGCCCTCACGAGCTTTCCCAGGGTCAGAATAGGAATGGGATTCAACATGGCCCCCCCACGACTCCAAGACTTAGCTACTTAGTATCACTCACAAACGATCCCCTGCAGAGACCAGGCCAGAGTCTCACTCAAGAGAATGCTGAAGGCATGTGACATTCCCCAGCTAGCTGCTGGCCAGGCTCCGGTGAGGCCGGCTCCGCATAACTGCTGAGACTCACAACGTGCGCTGGCGGGGTGAAGGGTTCCACCTTGTACTACCAGTGTCACCAGCTCAGGGTCACAAGCCCCCGCGCCAAGCAGCTGTCAACAGGCAGACTTGGCCTCCCAAACCCTAGCTCTCTGGGCCTGCGTCAGCCTGTGTGCCCTGGAGAGTCTTGGGGGTGGGGGTTCTGGCAGGGGAGACAGGCCCCCAGGCAGCAGGTCGCAGAGGGTGCCCTTACCTGGAGTCAGGGTACTTGGTGAGTGTGGCCAGGCTGCTGGTGTACATGTGGCCTCCCACATCGATGTGCACAGGCGCGTTGGACTTGGTGAGCTGAGCTGGCAGTGGGATCCCCTGGGCAGCCAGGGGAGACACAGGCGACCGGGTGAGAGACAGCCGGGACATGTTTCCTCCCTCCTGGAGATGGAACCAAGGCGGAAAACAAAAGTTTCTCCACGACACAGCCGTGCAATTCCTTTATTGCAAGTGTGATCACAGATCTAATCAGATCACTTCTGCCTGTGCCTGATCACATATTCAGCTGACAAATTATGGCCACCACTGTAATTAAGTGTATTTGCATCATTTTCTTTAAAGTACCAGAGGGAAGAAGAAAGATGCTTATTAGCAATAAGAAATCAAGAAGAAGAAAAAAATTTCAAGGTGTCAGCCTCCAGGGGCATAAAACAAACTGCAAAATTCTAATTAAAGGTCGCGGGCTTATGTGTTAGATGTGAAATATCCCCTGACAAACGAATCGCCAATTTGTGAATTGGGATTCAGGGGTTTTTGCAAGTTTGTCTCAGTAACGAGACACCTCTAAATTAGTGACTTCCTCAGCACCTAAGGCGTTGAGTTTATACATGTAGTAAAATTTCACATCAAATTAAGGGCATTTTTGTTTCAAAAAATACATAATCGCACAGCCAGTCAACAGTCGTCGCTTGAGTGCCGTGGCCTCCAGGAAGGACAGCCAGTGAGCAGGCGCTCGAAAAGCAGCCAAGGAGGACGCCCCCGGTGAGGGACCCAGCCCACTCTGCAGGCTCACCGCGGTGCCGGTGCTGCCGTGTGCGTGAAGCGAGGACCCGCTCGGCCGCTCCTTGCGGTGAGGCATCTAGGCTTCCATCGCCACCCAGAGTATCTGTAGGAAGCACCGACAAACAGAGAGCGGGCTCTTCTCAGCAGTCATCTCCCATGGAGTCAAAGAGGCTTGCAATCATCCTCTCTGTAGGCTCTCTGGGACCCCAAGGATCCATGCAGCCCTCCCAGATTCCATTCACCACTATCTCTATCTATCTCCATATCCCAAAGCAGGCCTCCAGGCCATAGCAGATCACACACACACATTGTCTGTCTCTCTCTCTCTCTCTCTCTCTCTCTCTCTCACACACACACACACACACACATTTTCTGGGCAGCTCCCATGTCTGCTAATTCAGCTAATGACAGCACTGAAACATATGCTCGCCGTTATTGCCCCAAAATGTCTCAGAACAAATCTGATTTTCCTGGTATTTTGGTTTAGAGCCATGTTACCAAGCGTGTCTCCTTTGGCATCAGCAGAGAACCTGGTGGACCAAGACTCAGGAAGGATCCCCCACCCTCCAAGGCGAGAAGATGCAGTTTGCAACTGGCCAGGAGCCAGGGCACGGTGATGAGGGCAAGCCACTTGGGAAGCCACCTCTCCCCATGGCTCTCAATAGCAGAGAAAACCTGTCTTTGTTTGCCTAGTCTGCACCTCACAGTTTCTCCCCAGATCCCCAGAATGGTGTTATCTGTGTCTAATGCATTCCAGACCCCCTCAGGATCACACAACCCCCCAGGCATCAGAAGCTGGACTGAAGACAACAGACAGCAGATCAGCAAATGGAGCCGTTCTCCTGCTCCTCCCCGGAGTCCCTCAGAGACTTTCCTCTGTGCCAGCCACCTGAAATAAGATTGTCCCTGGAAGCCACCTCCAGGGCTCTCTGCAGAGGAGAAGGGCAGGTTTCCATGGCCTCTGCCACTGGCTTGGGGCCGTCTCGAGGGAGGGAAGGGGAGCTTGGCCTCACAAACGGTCACCCTCTCTCACACTCACACACACACACTGGCTTCCACAAGCCCATCCTGGACTTCACTCTGTCGGCTTTAACCGTTGAGAGAGCAAGCACATGAAATTCTTGGGAGCCCAGGGACTGCTTTTTCTTGTTAAACTCTGGCATCTAAATTTGTGCCTTGAAATTCCACATCCAATTTTAAGACATGGTCCAATGAGAATCAAACCCTGCACATTTAAGAAAGGTTACTCTCCTATGATGTGTTCTGCCCTGAGCGCCCTGGCAAGTTTCCTGACATAAAACTGGTTGGGGAAGGGGAGGGAGGTTGCTATTAGCCGAGATGCTTAAAGTATCCTCTCACTGGGGGCTGGCCGCTCAGGGTCTGCTGCTCTTGGCATCCCTGAGATCCCGAGAGCTTAAAAAACAAAACCAGGTCACTTGGCTCAAGGAAGTTCTGAGAACCAAAACAGACCTCAGGAATGGATTATGCTGCCCTGGGTGGCTCTGCTGAGGGAGGAGTCAGGAGGGGAGACGCGCCGAGGTTAAACTGAACTGGAAGGAATTCCGGACGAAGATCTAGCAGCGCGGGCTGAATCATGTTTTCCCCCTACCAGGACACTGTTCCAAAGTGGCCCTGACCACCCAGCACCCACGACACAGCCTGCTCTGCCTGTCCCCACTAGCCTCTCTCCCCTCCAAGCACAGCCTGACGTCCACGGCGCGCC